GGAACCATGAATTCTGCTCTCTATCAGAAAATCCTGAAGGAGAATGTCCGGCCATTAGTTTGTGACCTCAAGCTCAAGCGCACTTGGGTTATGTTGCAGGACAATGATCCCAAACACTCCAGCAAGTCCACCTCTGAATGGCTCAAGAAAAACTAAATTAAAGTTTTGGAGTGGCCAAATCAAAGTCCGGACTTAAATCCGATTGAGATGCTTAAACAGTCCATTCATGCTCGAAAACCCTCCAATGTGGCTGAAGTAAAACAATTCTGCAAAGAAGAGTGGGCCAAAATTCCTCCACAGCGATGTAAAAGACTCATTGCTAGTTATCGCAAATACTTGATTGCAGTTGTTGCTGCAAAGCGTGGCACAACCAGTTATTAGATTTAGGGGGCAATTACTTTTTCACGTAGGGCCATGCAGGTTTGGACAGCTTTTTTCCCTTAATAAAAGAAATCATCATTTAAAAACTGCATTTTGTATTTACTTGCATTATCTTTGTGTAATATTAAAATTTGTTTGATGATCTGAATCTTTTAAGTGTGACAAATATGCAAACAATTAATAAAACAGGAGGGGGCAAAAACTTTTTCACACCACTGTATTCTAGTTATATAAAATGTGCTTAATTGTTATGAAAATAATATCAAAATGTAAACATCTTCCTAAAATAAGCTTAATTTGCTTTATGCAGAATATTTGTTTTTAATTGCCAGTTCGTGATATAAGCTCTGAAAACAATCATCAATATATCATGCAAGTTTGGTTCTGAAATGATTAGATCTTGTTTAATGGATGTTTAAATATTTTTCTGAAAACAAAGACAAACTTTTTTTTTGTAATTTTTTTTTGTAATTTTTCATGAACTAACTATGTTAAATGTATTAGATACATTTAATCAGTACAGATTTAATTAAATAATTTAACCATAACTTTTATTGCATTAATGATCCACTTTTATTATTTATTATATTAATATTCTCTACATTTGCTCATGTAACTGACCATTATGTTTTAAAGGAAGTTGTATATGGTTTATGATAGTCAGGGTATAAAATAGTTTAGGGTATAAAAATTTGATTATATTGCGTTTGCTTTGTCTTTGTTGTGTGCAAACCACCCATCTGTTTATATATGCTGCAAACTATGTGGCTAGCGAGGAATAGTGTCTGTGTTTCAAAACCATGACTTCTACCAACCACATCCTCTCTATCCTCACGTCCACATCCTGCTTACACTGATTTAAGAAACTTGCCATTGCTTGGTTACTATCATCCATCTGTGGTGTTGTTTTTAACAAATTAAGCAGGAAGCTACTATCAAATCATGTGGACTCATCATACCTGATAATAGCTTTTACATGGAACATTATGCTAATTACATCTTTCAGTCAATGTGACATGTATTCATCCTTACAGTGTCAGTTTTGACAGTCATTATAAAAACATTAGTCTGTTTCTTCTCACATCAAAATAATTTCACTAAAATCAATTTATTTACAAGTAACCAAGCAAAATGTCAGATCATGTACAGCGAGCCGGTCATTATCAACAAATAATATACACGCATACAATATACACACCCTATGTATACAGGTGCATCTCAATAAATTAGAATGTCGTGGAAAA